CAAAGATCCCCAGAAACTGGACTTTTTATGGGAACACCTTTACGTTGTGTGTACGTGATCCCATTAAATTGGAACACTGAGTTGTAACATATCAAGTGGGATAGCTCCAGAATGTCTTGGTGCATTGTTGTATCATTAACTTTAGAAAAGAGGAAGTCCCTGATTGCGCAGAAACATGGAGGTAGTTCGATAGAAGGATATGATGATCTGAAATCTAATACTGTAGCGCACACTGGTGAGGTGACTTCTTTAAGTTGTGATAACTGTTAATATTCGAATCATTTTGTTCTAATTCTTATAAAAAAATTCACTTAACTTTACTGAAACTTAGATTTCTTTTTTTTTAATTTTTAAGATAGACTAAAACATAGCAAACTAAATTAAATAGTGTTAAAGACTACATCAGACAAGGAAATTCTAAATAATAAAGCATGAAGTTAATTGAATGTTCACTGAGATTAAATGTAAAAATGAATTTTTAAGAATTTATCAAACTTACTTTTAAGCAACATTGTGTGGTTGAAGGAATTGGTAAAGAAAGCAATGAAAACACTTCATAGCTATTTGATGTTTTACTACAATTTAAACAGATCAATTGTGATTGAAGTAATCCGTCAAATAAATTTGAAACAATTGATTTGTACATGTTGATATGGCTTGCCCAAAACCTTTCCTGCGCTTCAAATTCACGTAAATGATCTAAATTCAATATTTGGTTTGGAGAAACATTCTGCAATAAAATGTAAAAATTAAATCATATGAATTTTTAATTGTAATTTATCTAATGAAATATATTTACCTTATTAAGATCATCATGAAGCTTTTCTAATAATGCGATAAGAAATTCATGCGAATCTTCTTGTTCATAACCAACAAACACTGACATATGCTTACTGACAGTATTTTTGGAAAAAGTTTTAATTATTTTTTATTATAAGTAATTATTCAGTTTTAATTAGTTTCAAAATAATAAAAATATAGTAAGATATCTTTACTTTAAAGTATTTTACTCAAAGATTCATTTATCATTCAATAATTTAAATCAAAATTGTTGTTTAATCTAATGATGTTATCAAGTAAAATTAAATTCATTTATCATAGTGTTACCACCTGTCCGGTTTTTCACCTGAACAGTTCGGGAACTGACTAACTGTCCGGGTGAACTATTAATTTTGTCTGGGAATTTCATAGAAATTGTGAAATTACGATGAAAGAAAGTTTTTGCAAATACAGGTATACCTCGAGTTACGTCGTTCTCGATTATACGTCGTTTGTCAAAAAATATATAGAAAAATAAAAATCAAGTTTAAGTCATTTTATTTGACTTTACATCTGTCCGCCACAAATACTGAAGTTGTTATAGCACTAGAAAAGTGTTAAAACACATAAAATCATATTAAAATATGTATGTTTACATTAAATGTTAATATAATCATCATAAATCCTAGAGAATGAAACATGAAAACATCTGTGTTTCTGTGTTGTCATCTCATTTAGTGGTCTTTAAGAGCTCAATATTGGTATTTTCCACAGTAGTTCCAATATGTAACGTTTAGCATCATTGTCAGCGCCACTCAATATTGGTAAATTTAATATAAATTACAGTCGACCCCCCTATAACACGGTAGATATGTTCCTCTTTTTATGAATCCAGCTTCTAGGAGTCCAGCCAATCACAACCCAGCATGTATGCAGTTTACGGACTACAGCTGTTTGAAAGGTTTCTTCCATAAAATTAATCGATTCTAGACTAATTTGACTCAACATTTCCAAAATACGTATAATTTTTTGGGAATAATCCATATAAACTATGCTATAAACAAAAAATTGTAGGATTACTTACTAAGTGTGCACTGTTCAACTACGCCGTTGCTTAAGCTCGTTTTTGTCGTGGAGATTGTCATCGAATGGCGCTCACGTGCTTCCCGATAAATTATTTTTTTTGCGAAAAATTCACTGAACTTTAGAGACATCATTAATATAAATATAATTTTTATGGACGTTAAATAATAAATGGTTTTTGTAGGTCCGCTGCTCGTTTAAACTTAACAGTTTGTGCAATCCTGTCACGACACGAGTCGGCGATGACATTTTACCGAATTATAGGAGTTTTTTTAGCATGTTTGTATGAATACTGTCGCAATCTGAACTATAAGAACTCGTGTTATGGGGGGTTTTTCAACTGTAGTTTATTTTCTACTGTCGCAAGATAATTCTAATAACTGTATTTGTTATTTAACCTTACAAAATCATCTTATTTTATAATGTCTTAGAGCAAACCACATTCACAAATAAATAGTCTGCGATGAACTGTAAACATCACCAAATTGTAAACACATATATTTATATGTATGTACTGTATGTACAGTTGACCCCCCTATAACACTGTTGATTATTCCATTTTATAAGAATTCCATGTTGTACGAGTCACTTAGATTTTACAAATATGTGAGCCATTCACAGCCCGGCGCACGTATTTGTAAAATCTAAGTGACTTGTACAACATGGAATTCATATAAAATGGAATTATCAACAGTGTCATAGAAGGGGGTCGACTGTACATAAATTTGTAAATTTAGATTACTTTTTTCTGTACAATATCAAAAACTAAAATTTATTTGTTTGCAAGCTTAAAATAGATTATTAACCATATATTATTAAAAATGCATTTATAAATAAAATACAGATCTGGGAACAATTATTTGTGGTTTAGCTAGTGACAAGTAAATTCGACTTACGTTGTTTTTCGACTTAAGTTGCCTCTCCTGGAACCAATTACCGATGTAAGGCGAGGTATACCTGACTTTTTATACAAATTTACACTATTTTAACAGTGAAAGAACTTGCACTCACTGAAACTCATCTGCAATCCTGCCATGTTTCTGTTTACGCCAATGTGTGTGGTGGATCCTGTCGAACTCCTTTTTTTTCCGTTAGTACGACTGTACATATCTCCAATAGAGCTATCTGTACCTGTTCTTTCTTAATTTAGGTTACTTACATTACTGTGGTGTATAATTTATTTTTACCATGTTTTTGTCATTAGTAGTATAGAAATGATACACTCTGGGATACAAAATTAATTTGTATATAAATCTATACTAATATTATAAAGAGGTAATGTTTTTAAGTATGTAAGTTTGTATGCAGCAGGTAATCTCCAAAACTACTCATCCGATTTCAAAAATTCATTCACCAATATTTAGGAAAAAGAATCTAATGGCGAAGCAGATCGCCTTAGTTCCTCCTGTATACTGTTACATTGTGGAGATTAGCAGCGAGCGATCCGAAAATAAAAAAAATTTCGGAGGAGTGTTTGCATTGAATGATCTACTGTTTCAAGTTGGTGATAAATAATCTTTTATAATTAATGTAGATGAAAAAAATAAGATGGGAAGTCACTGGGTATCAGTATTTTTTATGAAAGATAAAAATTCTTGCATTTATTACGATAGTTATGGATTTAAACCGAGGAAAGCGAGTATCATTAGATTTATAAAACGAAATTCAAAAAAATATTGCTGGAATAATATTATTCATCAAAGTTTGTTTTCCTTAAACTGTAGTTATTTCTGCTTATATTTTTTATATAAAATTAATAAAAATCTATGTTTATCAGAACTACATGTAACAGATAAATTTTATAATGATGAATTTGTTAAAAATAATTTTCATTTATCAAAACCGATTATAATAACCAATAACCAGTGTTGTAATTCAATAAAAAAATCTATTTAAAATATAAAAATTGTGTTTTTATTAACAAAAATTTACATTTTTTCCTCGATTTTTGTTTTCAAAAAATGTTGGACAATTCTATATAATAAAAAAATATATATTCAGTATTTCTGAAATGCGATAAT